CAATTCACTATTCTAATGTGTTGTCTTGATTAACTGTTTGGTGGAAAGTAGAGAATATTTGACGTTCTCGATGCACTTTATCCAGCAATCTGTGGTTTAATTATCAGGATTGTTCCCCCTTTAAAAGCTCCCTCACAAAGTGAATAATTTGCAGTGCCACCTGTCTCTGTGTGCATAGAGTACATTGTGTGACATTTAGAGAGCACACATCATACTCCAGAGAAAGGACATTTTCTTTCAGAGGTGTTCAGTTTGGTTTGCTCTCCACTTACAACTGTGTCTATCACAACAGAATCTCAGCATTAGTCACAAGCACCACTCACTGTGCTCTTCAAATGAAAGGTGATGTCATCCTCTTTCAGGGAGGAGATGAATTACGCATTTAGGTTTAAGGGCAAGGGGCCTGAGGTCCAGAATTTCTCTGAATTCGGACACCATTCTGTGTCCAGGATTGCTTAGTCAGCTCAACAAACAGCATATTGGTGTGTGAGAATGTGCATTTATTCTAATTTGTACTTAGTCTCATGGGAAACCATGACTATACGACCACTAGCATGTAGAATGTAAAGTGCTATGGCTGGTCAAGGAAGACTAGTGAGCATTTTGACAGGATGATGAAAATCACTAGAATGTGAGACCGCCTCAAAACAGCTTTCTAAAGAAATGGATGAGACTTCCAACATCCAATTTCATCCTGAACTGTACAACAACAGCTGTAAGAGGCTAGATTGAGAGCTTGTGTACCAGTCAAGGATTGGAGTCAAAATTTAACAACCATCAATGGATGGTGTCAAGTTCGTAGGAGATGACTGGCAAGTTTTAATACCAAATGTATGCGTGGCGCCATTTAGCACGGCAGGGCATGGTATTGTTGAGAGAAAGTCGTACCAATACTTGAAGATTCTGCTGAACACAATATAGCCAATCTGTTTGGAGAGCTAATGTGTAATTTCCAACATCACAATGACCCCAAACACACTGTGCATGCAACAAAGTTTCCCGCAATAATAGTGCTAATGGTCAGCATTTTGAAGTCTTTAAACGGTACATATGATGCTTTTAAATCTTTCCTTTTTACATATAAGTTATACGTTTTTGGTCAATATAAAGCGAAACTGCAATGCTTGGGTCTAAATTCCTCATTATTATAGCTTCACAGGCCCCTTTTCTAACCCTTTTCTGATGTGCGTCCGTGAGCAACTCGTTTTGGAGCGGCCTCTTTAAATAAAAAGGAGATGTGTCATACCCCGCCCGCTCTCCAGGTCGCTGAGTTCACACTCGGTTCAACTCCACTCCGTTCGGCCATTTTTGTAGTTTGATTAGAGATATACTATTATACACGCGTTATATCACACATTAACAAAATGCCAACAAGGGAAGACTTGTCCATCAAGCCTTACATGCTCGAGCCAGAGCGAGCGAGTTGAAAAAGAAGACGACGAATCTGCAGAACGTCTTCATATGGCTGCATTGCAATGGAATGTATCTGTATTGTGTTATAAGTGAAAGTTGATTTTTTTTTTCCTTGTTAAAACAAGCACACTAACAAGATAAATGACTACGGTCTAATCTTACCACTAAAAATGTGTATTGATAATATGATACGTTTAGAAAATTTTTATATATTTTCATTAACGATATTTACAGCTTATCGAAATGCTTTGTTCGTCGTCTCCAAAGATAGAAGGAATTCACCCCTCTTTCAGACGAAGTCGATCGGCAAACCCTTCTTTATACTGGCGGAGGTTGTTGAAGAATCTTTGAAGTGCTCTATCTGGGTCACTACTACATCAAACAATAGAACATTTTGACTTGCCCTCTCGTAACATCTGCATCATTGAGCTTGGACTACAAAATCGAAGCGAGAAATAAAAATGGCGGATTGCTCGAAGTGTTGGGCCAGTAGTCAATGTCCTTATTTGTCAGTTCCACTGCAAATACTTTGAACAGAAAATCTGAAAAGGTTGAAAAATATGACTAAAACAGAATATAAAGATATAAACAAAACACCTGAATAGAATAATTTCAAATTACTTATAAACACTCCAAATATACAACAAAATGCATTTAAGGGCTAAAAAAGTGCATTTAGCATGATATGTCTCCTTTAAGAGGCTTCCTCAGTCCCTTTTCATTTAAAAAATATATCTAAAATTACGTCATATGCATGCAGAACAATTAGTTCATGCGTTCATGACATAAAAGCTAGATTATTGGAATGCTCTACTGGGTGGTTGCCCTGCACGTTTAACACATAAACTACTGCTGGTCCAAAATGCTGCCGCTAGACTTCTTACCAGAACCAGGAAGTATGACCATATTAGCCCAGTTCTGTCAACCCATTGGCTCCCTATTAAACTTTGTATACATTTTAAAATATTGCTGATTACTTACAAAGCACTAAATGGTTTAGCTGCTCAGTACTTGAGCGAGCTCTTAATGCATTATAGTCCTTCACATCTATTGTGATTTTTTTTTTTTTTTTTTTAAGTTTCGGCCAGTTTGATGCATATAATATCAAAATCGACTGCTGGCGGTAGATCCTGAGGAAAAAAAAAACTAGGCAAAAATGTTATTTGGAGGTATGTTCAACTTTTTAAATCCTGTAACACACTTATACTGTATATATTTACCCGGAAACTGCAGCGATTTATACCTGGGGTTACATATTTCTGTCTTTGCAAAAATGTATGTTATCAAGCTTTTTTTATGAGAGGTTGCCTAATTCTGTGCATTATGATGAAAGCCAAGCGGGACAAAGCCAGCGGATAAAGTAGACAGAAACACTGTAATTGGGACAGAGTGAGAGAGCGAGAGCAAGAGTGAGAGAGGACTGAAAGGTTGAGGTCCCAACAGCTTTGCTTTCATCCTGGCACCTATAGATGGATGCTTTATACACTCTCTGGCTTGTCTGTTTGTTGAGGAGGCTAATGCTCTTTAGCTGTGGGACTGGAGTTGTGGATATTTAGCCCAAATGCTAATCAAGACAGAACATGCTGTTAGAACTGGACCAGGGCCAGGAGAGCATGGCATGGATGTATGAATGGACAGAGAGTGAGTGATATGAAAAGGGGGTTATGTTTAGACTGGACGAACGCCAGCTCTGAGTTCTGGAGAGTTAGAGAAACAGAGAGAGAGAGAGCAGGCATTTGAGATGCACTTTGAAAAAAAGGATGTTTTCATAATGCACAGAGAGATCCATTTTCTTGTCCAACAGCAGCTGGATACATAAGACTGTCTGCCCACAAAGAGCTGATGGCTGGAGCTATTGAGATGCCAGCCAAAGTAACATAAGACTCTTTTTACACTCTAAAAAATGATGGGTTAAAAATAACCCAACTTGGTTTGTTGTATAACCCAACTGCTGGATCAATATTGCACCAGCCCAGCAGTAGTTAATTTGACCCAGCAAGATGGGTCGGTCATTTTTAACCCAACAGATGAGTTGTTCATTTCTACTCAAATGCTGGGTCAAATTAAATAAAATTCTGGGTTGATTTAACTACAAATTTGTTATATAGCGTACCCAAATGCTGGGTCAAATTAATTACAATTCTGGGTTGATTCAATTACATATTTGTTATATAGTGTACCCAAATGCTGGGTCAAATTAACCCATATGCCAGACTAATTCTAGCACATTACAGTACAATTAAAGAAAATAAAGGCAATAGACTACTCATAGCTATAAAACTGTTACACTACAAACCTAGAACAGAATACATGCTAGATGTATGCATAGATTATGCAATAAACACTTAAACAATACAAAAACAAAACAACAATGGAATCTTTGAAAAATTATTTTATTACTTTAATATCAACAATATTAGTGGAACTGCAGTTAATATCACTGAAGTAGGAAAACATTCAATTATGAATGAACTGGCTGAACATTTAACAGGCCAACAGTCAACGGGAGCCATTAGCTCTACTTGCAAGCAAGTATTCTGGTATCTTCCCAAAGAAACTATTAAAGGGATAGTTCACTTTGATTTAATTTTTGAATGTTTTATCTTACCTCAAGGGCATCCAAGATGTAGGTGTCTTTGTTTCCACAGTATTTTCAATTTTGATATCTTTCGGTCAAACCATTGTTGTCAATCAGTCATATAATGGAGGTTTAGGGGGTCCTCCCCCGGTTAATGTCAAAGAGCATGCACAGAGAAGTCAAAATTAAACATGATTGAATGACTCGTAAATGTATGTACACAGTGAAGGCCTAAGGCACGAAACGAGCGGTTTGTGTGAGAAAACGAACAGTATTTATATCGTTTTTACCTCGTGTAACTCAGCCATTGGCAACTGATCTGACGGCAGGGGCGCTTCAGTCTGTGCATGCGCCAGAAGTGATCGCTTGCGCGTATACGTCACTCATTGTTTACAGAGAGATTTCGGGAGTTTAACCTTTCACTAAACATTTAGATATATCGAAATCTTCTTCCATTGCGATTTCCTGTATATATAAATATGTTTAGATCTTCACAGTGAAAGGTAAAACTTCCAAAACTCTGTGTAAACAATGAGTGACGTACAGACGCAAGTGATCACTTCCGGCGCATACACAGACTGAAACGCCTCTGCCGTCAGATCAGTTGCCAATGGCTGAGTTACACGAGGTAAAAAACTATATAAATACTGTTCGTTTTTTCACACAAACCGCTCGTTTATTGTCTTAGGCCATCGATGTGTACTTACATTTACGAGTCATTAAATCATGTTTAATTTTGACTTCTCTGTGCATGCTCTTTGAGGTGAACCGAGGGAGGACCCCCTAAACCTCCAGTGTATGACTGATAGACAACAACGGTTTAACCGAAAAAACAAAACAAAATTGAAAATACTGTGGAAACAAAGACACCTACATCTACATGCCCTTGAGGTAAGCTAAAACATATCGAAAATTAATTTCAAAGTAAACTATTCCTTTTAATATTTAGAAATAATAACTGTGTGTGCCTCTACTGTTGATCTTACAAGTCCTCTAATTTTTTGAAGAACTTCAGCCCAGGGCCAGCTCTTGGGATCAACTGTTGATGGTAGCCTCTTCTAAAAGAAGAAAACTCTCCTCATCAGTCCCCTCCTCTAAAAGACAAAAAAATACAAAACACAAAGAAATCTGTTTTTACAACTGAGGAGTACAAAACTAAAATATATAGGTAATTAAATGGAAGATAAACATGCATATTCCATCATTTGTTATTACAAAATAGAATAAATCACTGAAAGTCTACAAAAGACATGTGCCCTATTCATCTATTGGAGTCACTTTGACACATTACATGGAAGCTATTGAAAAAAAAAAGAGAAAATTATATTTCATAAGAATTAATGTCTGAAAAGGGCTTGAGTAGCAATGCAGACTTGATATGCTGTGGATGTGAAAACAAATATTTCTTACCTTGAAATCTTTCAACAAGGTCTGTCAGCTGCCACTCTGTTGTGTCAATGACAAAGCTGACCATTGATCTGAAACAAACACAAAATGAGGTTAAGGAAATATACAATTACTATTGTATTAACTATTCAGATGTCACCATGCAAATGCAATGCAGACTAGCAGCAGAATGTAATCCAATGTGAAGATAACAGCCAAAATAGAGAGACCCTCTCTCCCTATACAATTCAAATTACATGTATTTTACATTCAGACATTTTATGTTACTTCAATGTTTTTACATACTTTAATAAGTCTAACACTGTGTTATCTATCGCGGGTCACCATATTACTTAAATAAATGCACATGCATGCATTTAGTCTGGCATATCAGGTTATCTCACTGTTTTACATACTTTAATAAGTCTTACACTGTGTTATACCTTCGCATTTCACATTAAAAGATTTGAGGGCAAAAGCGCGCTCATTATATCCAGTTAACTTAAAATAATGTAAGTTAGCCTGCTAGCCCGGCCGCCATTTTATATAAGAAATGTTTTCTTATCTATCGCGGGTTACCATATTACTTAAATAAATGCACATACATGCATTTAGTCTGGCATATCAGGTTATCTCACTGTTTATACATACTTTAATCAGTCTAACACTGTGTTCACATTAAATGCTCCAGGGAAAAATTAGCGCGCTCAAAATAGCCAGTGCTTCAATGATAATGGCTAACGCTAGCCAAACAAGCCAGACAAACCAACCAACTAGCCTCGACAATATAAAGATATTACTTTAGAAAGGTAACGTTAAAGTAGACTCACTGTATTCCGGACACTAAGTTAGACCGTTTACCGCAATTTCTATAAATAAACACTTCACGGCCAAATGTTGTGTTGCATCAATACGTGTCATCTTTGCCTCACCCTCTTCCGACCAACCCAGCTTATAACTTAGTTGTTAAAATATATGTCTTATATATTAGAAATGACATGTAGAGTACTCTACCTTAGTTTATTTCCCTCGCTCGATGAAAAGTGAAGTTCTCTTTGAAGATCGCTCGGTGTGTGGTGGATCCGGTATGGTGGACTCTTCTTGTGATGATGTGATGACGTTCGAAGCACAAACAACCCACGTGCTGGGTCAACGGTGTATGTTGGGTAGATGGGTTATTTTTTCCAACTCATGCGTTGAGTCAAAATCCATATAAATAACCCATAATGGGTCAAACATTTCATAACCCAGCGGTTGGGTTGATTAAATAACCCAGCATTTTTTAGAGTGTATGTTATAAAATATCCCATTAGCAGCGGCTAATTCTCCTCACATAAGAGTTCTCTCTTTTCAGATGTGCAGATGCTCCACACGTCATGTAAGACATTTGTCAGTTTAATCAGCGCGTGTTGAAGTCCTCCGTCACAGCAGAGACTTCGACTCCCATTCCAAACATCTGCAATGCAGCAGTACACAGCACACACCCGACTCACAGCAGCCATTGTGAGTGAGAGTGTGTGCAGAGATAGACGCCATTCCTAGGCACTGGGTGATGTTAAAGCAATAAGCCACAAGAGGCTTTGCGTTACAGTGGTTTTATGACGGCTAGAGATGTTATCAGCATTGACGCAAAACATGATAAAATCACCGTAACTAACAGACTCAGGTGGGTTATAGTTTTATTTACAGCCGGCAGCAACAGAATGATAACAGAAACCAATTCTGAACAGTGTATATAATGATCAGAATTATTTGCTACTTTAGGTTGTTTGCAGTTTCCATGCAACATGGCCACTTGACACACTAATATCGATTAGTGAATTAATATAGATACAATTTGAGAGTTGGAAAAAATATGTATAATAAGTCATTAGAATAATTAGGGCTGCTGCACAATTAATTGCAATTAAAGGATTAGTTCACTTTTGAAAAAACTTTTGCTGATAATTTACTCACCCCCATGTCATCCAAGATGTCCATGTCTTTCTTTCCTCAGTCGAAAAGAAATTAAGGTTTTTGATGAAAACATTCCAGGATTTTTCTCCTTATAATGGACTTCAATGGGAACCAGGTCCAACCGAGGTCCAAACGACAGTTAATAACAGTTTCAGATGCAGCTTCAAATGTCTTTAAACGACACCAAACGATGAATAAGGATCTTATCATGCGAAACGATCGGTTATTTCAAAGCTTATTCCAAAAATGTAACTTTTCTAAGGACAAATGCTAGCCTTTCTCCATTCTGTGAGGCGCGTCACAACTAAGGTGTGAAAAAAGATTTGAGTCTGCTGTGAAAATGCAAAGGGAACAGGGTTCTTTTTATCTTATAGCTTTTTTATCTTTTTGTCTTATAGCATCAAAACATTTCTGTTCTGCATCATTCTGTTTGTCAACATAAATAAAAAGTAACTCTTTCTATTAGCAGTGCAGGATTATGGGAAAAGGGACAAGTCATTGCTTGGTAATTTTGTAATTTTTGCGCACACTGTTGTGTTTTTGTTGCTTTTAGCCTATTAAAAGCAATTAGGAATATAATGCACTTCCTTCCTCCCCTCTCTCTCTCTCTCTCTCTCTCTCTCTCTCTCTCTCTCTCTCTCTCTCTCTCTCTCTCTCTCTCTCTCTCTCTCTGTTGGTTAACATAGCCCTGCATCCTTTGGTCTATCAGTTTTTTCCATGCGTGCCGTCCATCGATCGCCTTTACTCCACTGCATGACTGCAATTGATCGGAATATAAAGCAGGAAGAAGTGTGCTTCACCACAGGGCTCCACACGCAGACACAGACACACCGTGATACATATGTACAGCCTTTATGCCCACTAGGATGCTGGGTGCTTAACATATTTTATTGTGAAGATAAATGATGTTGCATAAGAGGAGGGAGTGGAAGAGACTTGCTTTCTTTATTGAATAACTCTGAGTGAAGCCGCTATCATCAGTTCTACATCATACTATGTGCTGATATGTGTATCAAGCTCCTGGGTGTGGTCATAGGTGTACTATACAAGATACATTTACACAGAACATTTATATCTCTGGTGACAGTGGGAGAATTTTTTCACATACTGTAGCAGCTACTATTATTTATTTATTTATTTATTGATGAGATGTGGTCCAATTTTTGGTTGTTTAAAGTAGAAACTTGTAATATGATCCCCTTGTAATATGTTCTTGAATAAAATCCACTAAATCCCAAAATTTTGGATTTATTTTATTCATTTAATTATTAATATTACAATAATAATAATTAGGCCTTGTACTAAAAAGTTATATTATCTGGAATTTATGTATTTATTTGTTTGTTTGTTAACATCATGCAGATTTGTTTTCTTCTTACTCTAAAATTTAAATGTATTTAATCTATAGAATTCCATTGTTATTATTTCTTTATTATTATTCTTGAATGTGTTAATAGTATTTTATTAATACGTGCATATTCCATTGTTATTATTTCTTTATTAGTATTCTTGAATATGTTAATAGTATTTAATTAATAAGTGCATATTAATGCAATTTTCCTCATATTTTACAGACCCCCTTGCACCCCCTAGTGGCCTCTTGGTGAGGATAATCTATATTACAAAACAATTTTGTTTGAGATGGTATTAAAATCTTTGACTTTTTCGATATAACTTTGGGATTTTGGAAAATCTGAGAACAGTCGGGATCTGTTCTGAAACCGAGAAATGAGAGATTAATAATAACAAAAAGTTCTCATTTATGATTTTTCCTTTCCTATGGTAAAACATTTTCCCATATTCTATTGCTTGCTGTATTGTTTTCCACTGTATGCCTCTTCCCCGTGTTCACATCCATCATTTCTGACACTTATTCCCTGTGTTTTTTTCCTATTGGCCCTGCTCTGTACTTGCACCTTGGCATGGCTGCAGACCAGAACATTGAGCTGCAGAGGGACTTGAGGGCTGTTGTAAATGACTGGCCAGAGAAACAAAGTCCTGAGCTTGTCAGCCAACAGAGGGACCACAGGCACTGAGCAGCCTGCTGAACTAATGGCATGGGAGGTAGTCTTCTTTCAATGACAAGAAATCGTCATTGACCTCTGCTTTAAAATGAGAAACGGAAGCAGAGAGATGGGTGTGATAGTAAGACAGCCAGAGAGAAAGAGATTGTCGGTATTGTCTGACATTCCTTGTCAACAAGAAGTGCTCTGTAATGAGGGAATTCAAATCTATGAGGACAAGGCCAGTGGAGCCTAGCTATCCACTATATACATCACATCTATGATAAAACAATTTTTTGTAGCCTCTAAGCCTCTATTGTAAAATGTGTTAAAGCTCCGCCAGAGATTTGACATTTTGCCAGAAATTAGTATTCATAGATAAACAGCTATTTTGTCATATCATAAGCTTTTCATGTACTTGTGGCTCAGCTTTACAAAGCACTGGACTGGAAAGAGACTCATGGATACTAAGTCCTTAAAAAACATTAAAGGGTACATATCTTGCTTTTAAATCATTCCTTTTTACATATAAATCATACATTTGTGATCTATATAAAGCAAAACTGCAATGCTTGGGTCTGAATTCCTCATTAATATAGCTCCACAGGCCCCTTTTCTAACCATTTTCTGATGTCCGTCCGTGAGCAACTCATTTTGGAGCGGCCTCTTTAAATAAAAAGGATGTGTCATATATATATTATTTTTTTGTGGTTCAGTTCTAATGTGACATTAAGTAATTTTATTTAAAGGGATACGGTGAGTAGTGAGTAAATGGTTGCAATTTTTGGACGAACCATCCCTTAAAGCCATCCTTTCAGTGAGACACATAAATCGTCAGATAACTCTGAGTGTTGTCCGCACTGTCTGTCCCCTGTGTGTGCTGCTTCTGAACTAATCGATTCTCTGACCTTCACTGTATGTCAAGCCGCCAGGCACTCTGGGGGAATGTCACATCTGAGAGACGGCATCAGTGCTTGGCCCTGGGGAACCCCATCCCTTAACACCCCACACCTGCCTCGGTCCACGGAAACAAACTAAGACAGAGGGGATGTCAGGGTCTGAGTAGATTTCCAATCTCTTAGACACTTGGCCCTATCTCACCTCCTGACAGAGGAAACTGACAGTCTGGAGGAAACCAGCCCCTGTGAATCTCCAGGAAGGGACTCAGTAATGAGGCTGATGGGCTACTAAGCTGTTATCAATATCATCAGTGTTCTGAAGGATGACTAATAGAGATCTTGTCCACTGCTCAACCCTTTTTTGCTTTGAACACAAAGCACAAGCGCTTTGCATTGATTTCGACAGCAGTTTGTCAAAAGGTCTGGCAATGCACCCAGATGCAATTACTGGGAAATGAATTGAGTTTTTTTTTTTTTATTAAAAACATTTATAGTTTTATTTATTAAGGTTTTAAGATCCTCCTCTGGGGCGGTCTATCACCTGGCACCCTGAACGCATGCCAAATTAGCCTCAGAAGACCTGGTGAATATGAATGAGCATGAATACATAATCACCCACAGCTGAAATTTAAACAAAGTTATTAGTGACTATAAAAAGTAACATTGATTTGTTAATAATTGCATATGTAATGGAGAAGTAGCTCGTTGCATTTGTGTAATAATAAACACACAAGGTTTTAGAATATGAACACATGAACACACAAGGTTTTAGAATATTTCAGGGTGATACCATTTATCATTTGGACAAAAGGCTACTTTAGACAAATTAAGATGTTTACCGTGTCTATGCGGTGCATGACTTGTGCCAGGGCTAGCATTGCTAAGTAGCTTGCATTAACTTTTACCAGTGATTTTAAATGGATTTCTCCAAATAGCGTGACAAACTTTACCTGTCTAGTAGAATCGTCGCGACTGCGGCATCAGTGAGAAGCCCAACCTGTGCTTTTAGCGCACGCCAGCGTGTGATATTAACCCAAAATCTCTCTGGTCTTGTTTCTATATTCTGTGGCCTTTCTCTTCTTATCATACACTTCGTATACATTTTTTCTCTTTCGACCCTCAGCCATTTTCAAAGGAATGGCTGAAACCGCAACTCCGACATAATACACCTGAAAGTGAAAACTACATAGGGATGAGCACGTACGCCGGCCTTACGTAAACATATCACCAGAATGATTGACACTTAGGTGGACCAATAGTATAGACTACCCACCCGGAAAAAGAAAATCCTCCGCTATACCTTTAATATTGATGTCAGTCAAAGTATCT